GGCCGCGCTCACCGCGCTCGCAGGACTGGGGGTCCTGGCTCGGCTCGAGCTCCCGCACCGCCGCCGCCAGCGGAAACGGGGGGCGGGCCGGGGAGCTGGCGGCGGGGCGGGGCCTGCCCGGGAATGGCGCGGCCGCGGGCGGGGCTGCCGCGGGGCGGGACGAGCCCCACGGGCCCGCGCCGGGCGCGAGGGACGCGGGCGGTCAGGGGGGAGCCGAGCCCGGGGTCAGGCCTTGGGGTGGGACGGAGCAGGACAGGGCAGGAGCCAGGGTCCTGCGCCACCGCCCCCGGCAGGGCCCCGCGCTAGAGCTGGAGCGAGCCCAGGCCCACGGGCACGGGCGCCCTCTCGGGGTTCCGGAAGCCTCCCTCCCCACCCCGCGCCCGGATTCCCGGATCGGCGCCTCCTGCGAAGCGTTATTACCACGCTGCAGCCCCCTAGAGGGTTGGGGGGGTCGAGGCCTGGCAGCGCTCCTGGCTCCGCGTCCACACGGCACCCACGGGTCGCCCTGGCCAGGGTCTCAGCGTCCCCCCGTGGCAGGCTGTCTGGCCTCCTCATCCCCACCCCTGGTACTTCAGGCGGGCTATTTGAGTGAGACGCCGTGACACCTCTGCCCCCAGACCCCTCTGCTGCAGCAGCCGCTGCCTCCCCAGAAGCCGAAGGCGTCCGAGTGCTGACGAAGGCCCTGCGTGCCGGAGGGGCTGAACTGAAGCAGGAGAAACTCAAGCGAGGCACCTCTGGCCCAGCGCTTCCTATAAGCTTTTCCGGGCCTGGATTCTTGAAGCCAGAGGCCTCAACTTGTTTCCAAAGAGACCACTAAAACCCCATCTCTTCTCTTCAACATTACTGTCATCAAAGATGGATCGTGTGCTCCCCACGTGCATCACGGTGGCCCTAAGTGTGATTTGAGACAAATTTTTAAAATCTGACTACAATCACAAGAGTCCCTTCGCTTTCCCTTAATTAGACCAGCAGTTTCCCCTCATCTCCTGGGCCCCCTCCCCGCATACACACCTTGTTTTTGTCTGTTAGACTCAACCCACAATCCTCCTCCTTCTGATGGCTCTTTCCCACCAAGTGAAATATTCTCACTTCCTTCAGAACCTTGTTCAATGCCCCAAAATCTTCCCGGACTAACCCCCGCCAGCCCCAATCTCTCCAGTCGCTGCGGCAGCCCCTTAGCACATGTTGCCAATTATGCCGAGCTCCCAGAAAAGGAAACTGAGGCTCAGAGAGGGAAAGAGACTTGCTAGCGATGCATGTCAGCGAACGATCTCACTGTGAAGACAGGAGGAAGCAGCCTGGTGAGGTGGCGGCCCCAGCGCTTTGGAGCCAGACACACCTGTCTGAACCCAGCCTCTGCCTCTTATCGGCTATGACCTCTGGGGACCTCAGTCTGCTCACCTGTGGAATGAGGCATAAGAATACCAATTCCACAGGGTCGATGGGCTCACCCAGGCGATGCAGGCGAAAGCATAACATTCGATGCGTGGTGGGCGCTCCACAAAGGCTAGCTTCCTCCTGCACTTTAAAGGAGGACACGCAGCTCTGAAATAATGGGATTTTGAAGTCTTAGAGATGGATGAAACCTTACAAGAATCTCCTCAGCAATAACCCAGAAACTGGCCACAGTGTTCCCACTCCTTCAACACAGCGGGAGATGGCAGCCTCAGTGCCACGGCGGGGCCGCCGCTTGGAGCGAGAGCTGTGGAGAAAAGCTGTAGAAGCGATGGGATCATTCAGCAGAAAGGACGCCAGGGTGACGCGTGGTCTGTGAGGCAGACACAGCGATCATGTCCACCGAGGACTAAACTCAAATAAACCTGACAATAAAGCAAGACACGCTGGGAGAAAGAACTCCCAAAAGCATGAGGTCACAGTTTATTGTACCAGGCTTATGAGGAATGACATTGAGTTTTTGTCCCGGAGATTCTGAAACTGCTGAGGGCTACCGTACATCAGCTTAGATATGTGCAGGGTGACTATATGCAGGTTCTTGGGCATATCCTACTTATTCCTCTTGTCCTGGCATGGTTATCAATAGTCCCCCTCTCGCTCTCAAAATATCCCCGTGTGGACAATAAATTATATGCCACTTTAACTAACAGCAAAGGCAGTACTCCAAACAGCTCCTTCCAGCCCTGGATGTCAGCAATTCTGCTGGAATTTCTGGATCCCCAGAGACGTCAAAAGATAGTATGTCAGTTTATCCCCTTGAAATCACCAAATCAAATCAAAAATGATAATAAGCAAAAATAAAATTTCCAGCCAGCCACCCCAAGTCAAGTTTCAAGGACAGTGCCTGCTGAATTGTGACACCTAGCGGGGAGAGTTCACACTGCCCAAGGCTGAGTTCCGGGAACACTGTACATTCCGCCACAGTTTCAAGTCGCTTGTAAAGCGGAGAACAGCTAACACTTACCAAGTGCTGGTGTGCCAGCCACAGTTCTAAGTACTTCACACGTTTCAGTTCACTGGTCCCCAGGGCTACTCCATGAGGTCAGTACCATCGTCGTCCCGCCATCTTACAGGTGAGGAAATTGAAGCTTAGGTGGGTCACTTAGTCAGTAAATGACTAGCTGGGCTCTAACCCCAGGTCGGCCGGCTGCAGGCCTGTGCACTTACTGCTACTAAGTACCATCGAGTAACAAAGTTACTTCAGAGGGGTCTTCCCCCAAAGAGCCTCCCCCACGCCCTCTGACATGGAGATGACGTGAAGGCAGAGTGAGAAGCGGAAGGTACTGGAAGGTCTGCCCCCAGGTCTGCCAGTGAGGAGTGGTAATTTCCACCTCTGTAATGTCAGGACATTAAACCAGGCAGAAGACTTATAAACCATCATTTAAACACACAGTGGGGGGAGCTGCTGTTTTAAAGCAGCACTTCCCAGGGCGATAAAGCAGGTCCTTCCCCACCCCGCCCCCTTGACAGTACTTACCGGTCACTGACACCTACCATGTGCAGCAAGAGACCCCAAACCAGACCTCCCACAGCTGTCAAGGTGAGGCAGGCAAAAGTAACCACAGACCGCAGGCTTCCGTCCCACGCCCCTCCTCTAAAGGGTGGGCACCCATGCCAGGGCCTCCTCCCTCCACCTTCTTTCTTCTCCAAGGCTCAACGTGAGGTGGGGGCAGCAGGATTGAGGGGACAACGGGGTCCTGTACAGGTCTTTGTTATATAGGGTTGCCATGTGGTCTTTGGGACACACTTATTCTAAAAAAAAATTGTTATCTGAAATTCAAATTTCACTGAGTGTCCTGTATTTGTATTGATAATTGCTACATCTAGCAACTCGACTTTGTTATTGATTGTTGCTACAACAAATGGAAAACACGGACTAGATCAGAAGAGGGCAAACTTTGTCTGTGAAGGGCCAGAGAGCCAACACTTTAGGCTTTGTAGGTTATGCAGTCTCCGTCCCAGCTATTCAGCTGGGCCATTGGAGCACAAAAGCAGCCATAAGTAATACATAAATGAACGAGCATGGCTGTGTTCCAATAACTTTATTACAAAAACAGGCATCATACCAGTTAGCCAACCTCTACACTAGGCTAGTGTGTTTTTCAGATTGGGACTTCAGACTCCTGGCTGTCCTCAGATGTATCGTGGGGGCTCTCAGAGTGGGCTGTTTTCACGTGTGAAAAACAGAGCAAGACTGATCAAAAGCATGGAGCATAATGAATACCAGCAGCTCCATGAGTGGGTGTGTGCGTGTGCGTGTGCGTGTGTGTGTGTGTGTGTGTGTGTGTGTGTGTGTGAGTGACCCGGGATGGGTCAGTGCCTGCAGAAAGCACCTCTGAAGGGTTTGGAGCTCCCTGGGTTTTACAAGGTCTTGACCTGAAGAAGGGCAGATTCTGCGTCTGGGGTTGCTGGTGGTCAGCACGTACTCTGTAAAGACAGAAATACACAGGCAACATCGTGAAATCAGACAGAAACTACAGAAGCCAAGAAAAGCAGGACACCCCCGCAGAAGGTCTCCAGGTAATGCTGAAGCCATTGGCATTGGTCCACCGATGTAGAGTACTCAGGAACACATGGTAACTATCTGTGAGTGCCTGTGTGTGTGTGTGTGTGTGTGTGTGTGTGTGTGTGTGTGCGCGCGTGTGTGTGTGTGTGTGTGTGTACATTGTGGTGTACACCATCTATCTGAACATGTGGGTAGCAGCTGAGGAATTTGCATGGTTGGTTGGAATCAATAAATGTAACAGTAATAGCGATATCAGATACATTTGTATCAACTTTCTTACTGATCTTAGAATATTCCTAAATGCTTATCAAGGGCAATTCCATAGTATAAAATCACACTTTAAATTCTGCCCTGTAGACCAAAACCACATATAAAAAGATCAATTAAAAGCATTAAACCCAAACATGAACTTACACAGCACAGAAAATGTTAATGTGTCTGGAGCAGACGAGTTTTAGGGGTCACCGCGCAAGTTAAGGACAAGGAATCAGACAAGCGACAGATTATGCCGGGCCAGTTTAAGGATTTTGACATGTATATGTGTCCTAAAATGAGTCAGTCATCAGTGGACTGTTTTAAATAAGAGAGTGACATGATCAGACTTGCATTTTGATACTATCACTCCTGCTATCATGTAAAGAACAAATTAGAGGGGGCAGAGGGCAGAACAGACACAGGAGGCTTTAGCAGTGTCTAGGCACAAGAGCAAGTTAGATTGGTCTAGGTTGGCGGTGGCGAAAAAGGAGCAATATGGATAAACTTGAGAGAGATTTAACAGGTGAAATTTAGGCCAAGTATTATGGCTGGTACCTGTAATCCCAGCACTTTGGGAGGTCGAGGCAGGAGGAGCCCTTGAGGCCAGGCATTGAAGACTACTACCCTGGGCTACATCATGAGACCCCATCTCCACAAAAAATTTAAAAATTAGCCAGGCATGGCGGCACGCACCTGTAGTCCCAGCTGCTCGGGAGGCTGAGGTGAGAGGATCGCTTAACCCAAAGGTTCAAGGTTCCAGTGAGCTGTGATCACGCCACTGCACTCCAGCCCAGGCGACAGAGTGAGACCACATCTCTAAATAAGTAAATAAATAAAGACT